GTAAAATGGTCATAATGTTTTATTTAAAACATTAAAAATGATACAAAATAGGTGACATTTGAAAGAAAACTCATTGACCTGCAATTTTCATAAGTCATGACTCACCTAATTCATTACGTACTAAAAGATATGGTATTATACATTATTTGCTTTCAAGAGAAGCACACATTGATTGTATGTAATTTTTTTATTAAACTTTTTTTGGGTGTTTGTGATGATTTAATAATTATACGTGCTAGTTCGAATGGGTAATTATAGGTATTTATAAGTTCAAATGTGTCACGATCCAAATCGGGCCGTGAGTGGCACCCACTTTTATCCTCCTATGTGAGCGAACCAACCAATCTAACCCCATCATTTCAAACATAATGAACTGAATACATTGCGGAAGACTTAAAAACTCATTAACAAAATAAATCAAATAACTTCTAAAAACTCAAACATTTATTATTATCCCCAAAATCTGGAAGTCATCATCACAAGAACATCTATCCTCAAATTACTAATCTAAGAGTATCTAAGAAGCTGAAATAAGTAAAAAAACTAGTCCATGCCGGAAGTTCAAGGCATCAAGACATGAAGAGGAAGATCCAGTCCAAGCTAGAAGCATTAGCTCACCCTGAAATCCGATGTAATGAAGACTGGCTAGAGTTGCGGTTAAGTTGAAGACGACGGCACGTTTGCTGCACTCCACAGATAACAAAGAAAGAAACATACAAGTAGGGGTCAGTACAAAACACCAGTACTGAGTAGGTATCATCGGCCAACTCAAAATAGAAAACAATATATATCAAGTAATAATATAAAATCAACTACATTACTCAACATGTAGCAACAACAAGTCCTATAATCGTTAATAAGTACCGCCAAGTTCACACATGAGGACTCAAGCCTCAATACCATACTCATTTGGGAATTAGGTTCATTAGATTGAGTATATTAACATCTTTCAAGATTCATCACCTTTATTCTTGTGTCGGTACGTGACACTCCGCTCCCCTACTACTATGTATCGGAACGTGACACTCCGATCCCCTAGTTCTACGTGTCGGTTCGTGACACCCGATCTCCTAATTTTACGTGTCGGTTCGTGACACCCGATTCCCTAATTTTACGTGTCGGTTCGTGACACCCGATTCCCTAATTCTACGTGTCGGTTCGTGACACCCGATCCCCTACTTCTACGTGTCGGTTCGTGACACCTGATCCCCTAATTCTACGTGTCGATTCGTGACACCCGATCCCCTAATTCTACGTGTCGGTTCGTGACATCCGATCCCCTAATTCTACGTGTCGGTTCGTGACACCCGCTCCACTAATCTCATTCTATTAATTCATCTAGCCTTCTTTTATACCAAGGCATCATCAATCTCATTACTTTAGTTCATCAAGCCTTCTTTTATACCAAGGCATCATCATTAACAAGGGATTTTCAAGATTTGGGATTCAATAGCTTCATCATGCTTATTTCATCACAATTATATAATCACATTCATGCAAGCATACAATTAAGCATATAGAAGACCTTACAATACAACCCAACACATATCATTCGCTATTAAGAGTTACTACGAATAGTATAACAACCATAACCTACCTCCACCGAAGGTTCGTGATCAAGCAAGCAAGTTCCCAAAGCTTTGTTCTTCTTCTCGTTTCTCCTCTTTCTCGTTCGATCCTCTCTCTCTCTTTGTTCTTTCTATTTTTCTTATTCAAACCCTCTTTCTTTTACCCTAATTATCATATAATTAAGTATAAAAGATGAGGAATTAACCCACTAATTAACTCAAGGTTATCTCTTTTAACCCCCAAGTAATTGAGTTATTAATATTAAACCACTAAATTTATAATTAAAGCAGGAATAGTCCAAAACGTCCCTTAAAACATTTAAAGAAATCCGACTCAGCCTGGGATTACGCAACCTGTGACGGGCCGTCGTGACTGCGACGGTCCGTCCTGCTGCTTCCGTCACAGAGTTCAGGGACTGAAATTTACTGAAGAGTCTGTGACGACCCGTCATGCCTGTGACGGTCCGTCCTGCCACTTCGTCACGAAGTTTAGAGAGTCGATTTCAGTACCCAATTTTCAGAATTCTAAGTATTTTGGAACGAGACACCCTCGACGGTCCGTCGTGGGGTCCGTCGACCAAGACAGCTTTTTCAGAATTAAAATCTGCTGCTCAAAACGACTAAACAGGTCGTTACAAAATGATGTATGAAACGTGAAATAAAGTTTTTCAATATCTGAAACTAACATCCAAGGTCAAAATTATGAACGCTTGAAGTTTCTTTTATTTACATCTGTACTAGTCTTTGATAAAATGATTATAATGGTTCACTTTAAACATTAAATGATACAGAATTGATGGCATTATTCGTAAATTTTACTTTATTTAAAACGTCAAATTTTTGATTTCATTGCTTACGAGCATTCAAATATATATTTTATGTTATTGTAAACCGTGTTTAATATTCTTTTAATTTTTTTAAAAAAATAGAGTGATAACAAAGTTGAATTTGAGAATTCAAAGAAACTAAAAAGCTAACTTCCTTAATTATATAAGTTAAAAATAAGGAAGAAAAATAATTCCACATCTCCAACGTGGTTAAAAACAACTATTAAAAGGCGTGATATTTCTTTTAGGCTATTACATATTTTTTCTTTTTGAATTATTAATAACTAATTAATATTGAGTTACATGTTGTCAATTGTATATAGTAATAGTATGTCTGTGTCAATTTCTCGAATATTGTGGCTAATGGAAGAAATTATCTGAAAATTATGTAGGAAAAATTAGCAAATTAGTCAAAATTAATAATTTAATTAGTAAAAATCTCACTATTTTAAAAATATTAGTTAAAATGTCAAAAGTGTCATTATTTTAAAAAAGAATATGTATCCTAATTAAACCCTTATTTTATCTCTTAAAAAAATTATTTATTTATATTCCCATGTACATCCATAGTTCACGTTTTCCAAATTATTTTTATTTAACAAAAATCAAAATCTGCAAATTTTTCCCATATCTCTTCCATGTTTATCCCATAAGGAAAAAAAGTAAAATTATCTCTCCATATTTTCTTGTTCATATTCTTATTCGACCTTCAAATTCTTCATTTCAACCCCATTGTCTTATTATCTTCTACCGAAAGGTTATTATTTTATCTTCAAAATCTAGATTCACACAAATTCCTCTAATTAAGGTATTTTCATCGTTATCTTCTTCTTCTTTTTTTAGATTTATTGTCTGATTTTATTGTTGTTTAAATCATTCTTATTTGGTGAAAGTGGGATAATTCTCGTTTAGAACTATAAAATACTCTTCAATGGATGATTCTAAGAGACACTATTCAGCTTAGTAAAATGATTTCTAGTGATTTTCTATCATTTAATCTATGTATTACTCAATAAATAGCGAATATTGTAAGATCTGCTTCTAAAATAAGGGAAGAGAGACAACAAGAACAAAATCTTCATCAAATTCATATTGAAAATGTAACTCGTACAGTACAAAAAAATGACGGAGAAGACCAAATTGTTGATGAAGAGGTATTTAAATATATTTGCATGTTTAGATTTTTGTATGTTGAGTTGAAGTTAAAGAACAATTTGTTCAACCATGTGTATTGAATATATTTGTAAATTTCTTGTTATGTACACCGTGCAATATTTATTAGTTTGTATTTGTATTCACTTGTTATTTATTTGTTGTATTTTGTGATCAATTTTTGTTAATTTTGATATCATTTTTTTATTCATTCCTTTATAATTTTTCACATTTGTAGATATTCAATAATTTATGAATACATTTTACATGACTATGATTTTCAAATTTTACTAATGAACTTTTGTTGGATTTGTGTTGTATGCTATGAAATTTTTATGTATTTATTGTATTTGTGTTATATGATTATTGTTAATGAATTCATTTTGGGTGATTTTGGATTCAGATGTGTTTATACTAATTGTACTTTGTGTAAGCCTTGTTTGTATCCGTAAAATATATATACACATTGTAATGCTATTTGTATGTTTCCAAAATAAATACATATTAGTTGTATTCAGTGTATTCTTATTGTATTTTAAATTCAGATGTGTTTATTCAGTGTATTCTTATTGTATTCATAAAGTCAGGAGTAGAGTTGTTAACAAAGTCAAGATTAAGTAACTAATATATGCATTCACAATTGTACTTGCATCATGTTATGAACAAAACTTTATTCAAGTAATATCACTTACTGAATACATAATAATCATCATGAAGAAAACTTCATCATAGTAATAAATATTATGTATTCACAATAGTAATTCTTCATATTCCATAGAAGTCCCTTAATATATATGTATACAAAACAAATATTGAAACTGTATCAGTTTCAAATCAAACGCTTGCAACATACATTACATTATCATATTTGTTTCGTTAAGGAATATAACTTATTCAAATAGTCATACGTTATCCATAGTTCATACAATTTACAACTAAAATAGAATACTGACGAAAAAAAAACGAACAAAAACATACTACTTGTTTACAATTACACAAAACCTGAATACTATGCTTTACAATTATTTTCATTACACTTTCAATTTTTTTCGTACTATATCAATTTCAAATATACGAAAACAGAATACAATTGACAATTATATCAATAAGATAAAGAACAAGGAAGAAACAATTATCTCATCGAATTTGTATGGAAAATGGTAATCTTGAAAATCAAAAGTTGAGAGAATTCATAAAATTTTAAGAGTGTCGATTTATTTTTTAAATTTTTTAAATTTTTTTTTGTAACTGATGAGAGTTTTATGCAATACTTCCATCTTTAGTTTTTTTTTTTCTCTCCCCTTAATTTCTTCTTTCTGTTTTAAGTATTTTTACTAAATAATGAAAGTATTGATGAGTTCTCTTAAATAACAAAATAATGACATTTTGAAATATTTCCCATATATAAGCCCAATATTTAACACGGGTCGTGGCCCAAATTCTTTTTTTGTGGACTAAACCTTGCACGTTCTAATCTTTTTGGCCCATTAACCCACTCAAATTTCAATTAAGTTCCGACTAGCCGTCGCCGTTACCGTCGCCGGTGATCGACCTTGAAGAGATAATGAAGTTCACTGACTCGCCGGTGATCGACCTTAAAGTCCTCGATTCTCAGCTAGCTTTCCATCAAGACAATGGATCTATGCATGTCGGCACCAGTGTATGGCCCTGTTCACTAGTCCTTGTCAAGTTCGGTGAAAGGTGGCATCCTCAAACATGCGCCGTGAACCCAAATCCCTATGCTGAAATCCTTAACTTTCACAACAAGCGCGGTGTAGAGCTCGGAGCCGGCTGTGGAGTAGCAGCGATGGGGCTTTTCTTATTAGGTCTAAACAACGTCGTTATCACCGATATTGCTCCGGTTATGCCAGCCCTAAAGCACAATCTGAAGCGAAACAAGCCTGTTTTGAAGAAGAGTTTGAAGACGGCTCAGTTGAACTGGTCCAATCAGGATCAGATAAAATCACTCGGCCCGCCGTTTGATGTCGTCATCGCCGCCGATGTGGTGTACTTGGAGGAGACGGTTGGTCCGTTGCTGTCGGCTATGGATGCTTTGGTGGGAGAAAACGGTGTCGTTTTGTTGGGGTATCAGCTGAGATCTCCTGAGGCGCATGAGAAGTTCTGGGAGCTTTGTGGAGAGATGTTTGACGTCGAAAAGGTTCCACACGAGCATTTACATCCAGAATACGCCTATGAGGAGACTGACGTTTATATTTTCAGGAAGAAGAAGAAACTATAGGACCCCCTCCTTCGAAATTTTGTAATCTTAACAGGTGATTATTGACAAGCTCGACTTTTTTTGTGTGTGTTATTTTTCGTATTCTGCATTGGCGTGAAATCTTTTGTGTTAATTAAGATGTTTAGTGATGTTGAAATCGTTGAGTATTGCGATGAAACGGTTAAGTTGGAGTTGAACTGATAATGAAGATTTATATAGTAGACACCAACTAGCTTGGAATTTGTTGTTGTTGAGGAATCGAACTTCGTACTAGATATGCATACTTCTATTTATACGAAAGAACACTGTTCTCTCTATAAGAGTAATGTACATTGAAGAGAATAATAATATTGGTTGAAGGATTTAAGATTTTAGTCGATAAATAAGAAAATGAAGTGTCAGCTTCAACTTTCAAGTCTCAGCTATTTTTCCTAAGAACTCCTTTACCGGATGGTGTTCTTGGTGCAAGAGCAATCACTTGTCCAGCTTAAACCCCTCGAAATAAACTGCTACTACTATTATACCTCGACCCCGAGCTAGTTGGGTTCAATTGTATGAATACTTTATGTCATAAATGCAACCTCTGCAATTTTCCATTGTAAACGATTTGCCCCTGTTAAGGATTGGCGGCAGAGTTCTTTCCCTGGTATTGTCAGATTTTTGTAAAAGACTCCTTTTTGCAACTATACCTACTCCTATTGTGCCTTATTTGGCAACTTCTTATTTCATCATATCTGTATTGCCTGTCTGCTTTGGCATTGAATATGTTAGTTACTAGACCAAAAAATAAAAACCTAACCGATATTGTTTATTTATACTAAGAATGTGAGAGACTGAGAGAACTGTCGAATGCGGTTCTTCTAGCTGTGATACAAGACCAACCTGCCTTGCAGTCTCATTTTATATAGGTCCTCTTCATACCAAAAAAAGTAGCTACCTTTGTTTGTGCGGTTTAGTACCACCCCTACATGTATGTTCAAATCCAACACATATATATGTGTACCTTGGAATCCAATAGATATATACACGTATGTTCGAATCCAATAGATATATACATGTAGGATGGGATGGTGGTTGTCCTCAATTATAATTTGAGCTGAATTTATTTCAACTCTGCAGTGTAAATGGTGTTATGCATTTTGTTTGCCTTTAAAAAAAAATTTGATATCTGATCATGAAGAAAGGGTACTGATTTTTTCCAAGTTTCGGATAGCCCTTAGTATCATGTCTGAGCTCCTTACAGTCAACATAGACCTGACAAGAACTGACTTGATGTCCATAGGTTACCTTGAATTTGCTACTTGATTATCTGCTAGTGAACTTGATTGCTTATATCTGCTAGGGAGGTCTTGGTTTCGTTGGTATAATCTTTCGGTCACCATTTTGTAGTCGTCATTCCTTCTACTGCTCTGGAGAGTACAAGATATCCTTTTCCTTTAAAGATCCTTGATTGAGTGATTGTTACACCATCTAAGTTCCAAAAGCATCGCCTGCACCTTCACATTGAACTAATACCTCTCTTGAACCGATCAAAAGAAGTAATACACTATGCCATTAGTAGTTTTCCTTTTGAATCTCTTACAGTTCCTTCCTTTTAGGCAGGTTTCTCTAACGCTTCTTTCTACTTTAATATGAGAGGTTTCTCCCACTTGAATCTCTAAATTATTAGTGATGTATCCTAGTTCTCCACTCAAAGAGTTTCGTCCAATCCATACAAAAAGGTACATGTGCCCAGGGAAATTGCTTGGGAATTGTTCTACCTGCATGATACATACATGTGCTCAACAAGGCAATTGACTGTACACTTACCTTGTATTTGAGGTTCTCTCCTTAGTGTCTTCTCTGTTTTTTCAGTTGCAACTAGCTTTCGTACTCTCCAAACAGATCAGGGCAGTTCAACTGAATAGTTGCACTTGGTAATATGTATTCCCACACAGTTAGTGGTGGCAAATGGGCAGGTTGAAAATGGGTCATATCCTAACCCACCAATATTCGTGTGGGTTAAAAATGGGTTGGGTTAATAGGGGTTGACCTCTTTAAGTGAGAAACCATTCTATTTTTAGTGAAAACTATATTACTCAAATAAGAAATGAGAACTATTTTGGTTAGTAGAAAAACTTAGGAAAATGAATTAATGTCAAAAGCCGTTGCAGATAACTTGGCTTGCTCAAGTGTTCGAGCACCTCTAACATCAGCCAGTAAGGGCAAGTACAAACATTATTGATCCTTCTAGGGGTGGTGGGAAAAAAGAGAAGATAATTTGCTTTTGGAATTATATACTACAATTTAGAGTGAGCTTGCAGACTCTCTTTCTTTTTCCTCTGTAATAGAAGCGAGCTTGCAGTTCCCCCTTAGGTTTTACAGTATCTTCAGTTGGATATGCGTACTTGCCTACACGAATGGATGTTAGTTTGCTTTTCTATGGGTTCTGCAGTTGATTCCAGTTTGGGATACACTTCAAAGAAGGAGTTTTCAATGTAGTCCATGAACATGCAGTTTGATTTGCTCGGGCCACCACTACTGCCGTTTGAGGCCTTGACTGTCCAAGAACAATGGAATGGATTGATGTTAGAAAGCCGTTACAGAGTGTGAGAGCATGAGAGAGAGAGAGAGAGAGAGAGAGTTGTATACTGATACAGACACAGTTAACTGGGATTGAACTTTCTTATTGTGTACAAGTAAAGACCTTTTCACCTCAATTATTTTTCCTAATGTAAAGAGTGTACAGATTCAATAAGTTTTAACATATTGTTGTGCAGGAGTTGAAACTTGCAACTCACTGGACTCAGTACTCACTCCATGTAACCAGTCTGGTATGTTTTGTTGCAGAAAGGATCGTCTATCTAGTGTCCCAACTGCAGAACACCAGGAAGGAATATCGTCTCAGTCATCACCGCTGTGTTTGCATGCATATCATTATAGTCGAAGACCTATATTTATATATATGTATTCTGATAGATGGCTATTCTGCTGCCACAAGAATTGGATAGCTATGGTTATACCAGGCTTAACGATATCTTGATGCCAAAGGATAGCAAGTACAATCATCAACTTTGTAATATTTCACTCTTATGATGAAAATGCATGTCCCAGAGCTCAGGTTTATACACTATATCAACACAATTGTTCCTATGTGCTATTTTGCCTTCAGTTTACTATTTGCTTAAACTTGAAAATATCAATTATCTTCAACCAGATTAGTACTTTACTTTACCAGTATATATATAAATAGAAATAAAGATCAGTATTAGTAAAAGAAAATAATGAACAGTGAGTTTATATATATAGATATCTTTGTACAGTTGAACTTTGATTAATTAGTTACTCTCCCAGTCAAGAGTCATGTACACTTATTTCTTCAGCCTAGCTCACTGTACAAAGTAAATACCATTAACAATACATAAAATTGGAACCACATCAAAAATAGAAAAATCACAAGAGAACTCTTCCTTATTCTTCCTAGCTAGTCCTCCTGTCCACCCTACTCTTTGTTTCGATAACTTATTCAGTGTGACTGTCTCATCTAAAAGAAAAGGTCAGGGAATAAATGAAGCGTCAGGGAGATTATTGAAATTCGGAAGACGAGAAGTAGTAGTCATCGTTGGATTATTACGTTCAAAAGATATGAGAGTAGTTGGATTGAAACATTGAACAAATTGAGATCCCACTTGACTTGTTCTAACTTGAGGAAGAGGAGGAGGACATGAATTATTTTTGATGTTATTGTTAACACCACCACACTGTCTTGGTTGAGTTTGATAAAATACTTTTGAGACAACAAGTTCACCTTCTTTTTCATCTTCATTATCACCAAGATGATATTGATGCATTACCCAATTTGTTTTCTCAGGTTTTCTTTGTTTGCCATAATTTGTATAGAGAACAAGTATCTTCTTGTGGCCTTTCACTTTGTTTTTTAACACAACTGGTCTAGTTTTGCCTGTTTTGTGCCATCTTGTTTCATTGCCTTGTATATCTGTGTGGACTTTTCTTCTTTTTCTTGTCCCTGTTGTATATGCTTTTGATGGTCTATGAAAGAAATGTCTAACTAAGCCATCTTTTGCCACTCCTGCATGCACCATCCATCAATAATCAACAACAACGACGACAACAATATATCCAATACTGTGATCTCACAAGTAGGGCCAACTGAGAAGGGTGGAATTTACGCAAACTTTATTCTTATTGTGTACAAGTAAAAACCTCATCGTCTCAAGAAAATCATTCATCAATAATAATCATAATCAAAATTTAATTAAGTTATATACACACAAACAATATAATTTTTTCGTATTATACAATATCAATATAGTTTAACGTGAGATAGTAAGTAAGTTAGTTATAAATTAGCGTTATTATTCTTATATACATCATGAGATTAAGGAATTATTAGACCGTCACTTTTACACGTCAAAGCAAATAACCTGACATATTTTTAAAATTTAAAGAAGGCTTATGTATAGATATTCTTTGAGTGATCTGATAATGTAAATAATTGTTTAAAATATAAACAAACATATACAGATTAAAATTTTGTCAATTTTACCAAGTGATGGATTACTAATACTTATTTTGAAAAATATATGTAATTACCTTTAATGACCTGATTATGTATATTACTCTTTGATCACATTAATCTTAAACTCATTTGATAATCCAAGTAAGTGAAAGTGCATATCTTAAGTAAAACAAAACTTTATAGTAACCTCATGCATGAAAAAATTATATTTTGGACATCAAACTAAAAATCAATTCACAATAAATCAGTAGAAAGAAAAAAAAAATCTCACTATTTGTCTGCTTATAGAAGATTTCATTCACAATAACCTAAATCAGCAGATAAAAAAGAACTGAAAATTTGCACTTGTATATTCATAATAACGCTATTTTATTTAATTAATTATCAACTCAAAGTTTCTTTAATTAACTTATATTATATACATGTACTGATGTTATATAACAGTATCCATGTATTAACTTGTTTTAGTAGATAACCTGCTTTATTTTTTCGATTATCATCCACTTATATAACGAATAATTACATGCACATATTTATCTTTTTTAATTTTAGATGATCTAATAGTATAAAAGCTAGTTAACGATTTAAGTATATAGAAGCTAAACTCATTCAGAATTATAAGTTTTATTTCATCTCGCAAAACACTTGAATTAGCTACGAACTTTAATCCGTATCTAACATAACTTTTAATATCTTATCGTCGTCAATTTTGTCTTTTAGCTACAAAATTTATCTGTCGTTAATAAATTACCTGGTAACTTTTCTGGATGAGTATAGCAAATCCCATTCTCTCCCTCTAATGTTTGAATAAATTCATCAATTAGTGGATGAAGTTTGTGTGCATCCAATCTCACTTTTGCCTCAAGATGTTCAAGAATCTCTTGATCACTTGGATCAAACTTCACCCCAGCTGGTAATCCTGGAAGATTATGAATCCCAGCCTATACTTAAAAATTAATAAAAAAAAATTCACAAAAAATAATTAAAATCATCAAATCATGTTGTATATATAATATAATAAATAAGCAAAATCAAAGAAAGAAAAAATTACTAACCTTTTCTTCATATTTGATCAAATGACCACAAGAAGGACAAGTCCTAATTATTTTTGTAACACTAGTAAGAGAGTCAATATTGATACAAGTCATTTCTTGATAATAATAATAATTAGAGAAAATCCTTTTCTTCTTCTTTTTTTTTCCCACTAAATACTATTACAAAAATAACAAAATTTGTAGAAGGAGAGACAAAGGGTTAAAAAGAAAAAAAAGAAAAAGTAGCAACACCATGTTCTTCCCTCAACCTAATTGTTCATCAAAGTTGGGAAGGTATAATATAATATTATTGAAATTCTACTTTTTGTATTCATCTTATAACACTTAAAAAGATTAAAATTAGATGTAAAAAGTTGAGTAATATAATTAGCTAGTATTAGTAGTACCAAAGATAGAAAAATAAAATTTTAAAAAAAGGAAGTGTTTGCTTGGGATTCACTTCTTCTTTTAGCTCATTTAAGTAAGGATGCTTCATGTAGAATAAATGTATATCTTTGTGAAGAAGAACCAAAAGGGTTATAGTTTAATTGATTATTTCATTGACAAGGAACATTTTAATAAAGACAGTTTACCATGTATTGGTAAAAAATTAAACTTAAACACTATTGGATATTTACTCTTCCGTTTCAATTTGTATGACTTAATTTGATTTAATACGAAATTTGAAAAAGAAAGAAAAAAAAACTTTAGAAACTTCTGGTCTAAAATGAGTTACGGATATTTGTGTGGCTAGAAATCATTTTATTAAGGATAAAATGACATTTTCAAGTTAAATTGTTACTAAATATATATAAGGCAATACGTCATTCTTGTTGGAACGGACTAAAAAAGAAAGTAAGTTACATAAATTGAAACAGAAAGAGTATTATTTTCCACTAAAATTTTGCACTGAAAAATGTTCGGTGGCTATATTTGTATCGATATTTTGAATGAATTTGTGAGAAAAGAAAAAATAGTAATGTTTTCGTACAGAAAAAATAGAAAACTTTCCACTATTTCAATGAGCTTGAATACAAAAAATCATGTTTTATAGCATAAATCTCTCTTTAATTCGCGATAAATCTCTTTATTTTATTTTTAATTGTGAAACTACTTGAGTGTAAATAAGGCAACCTAGTATTAGCTCCTTCACAACCCCCCCCCCCCCCCCCCCCAAAATTCACACACTCAGTTAGTTACAGTTCTAATGTCACCCTAGAGTGTACACAAAGACAAAACAATTTTGGTTAGAAAAGAAACAAAAACAAGAGGAACTTTAACATCCACCAATAATGACATTGCTTCACTTAAACTTCTCATGCAATGCAAGAAACTTGGGCACACAAAAGAGATAGATGACAGAGTCAGAATTTAAATTTGATGAGTTTTAAATTTTTAAAAAAATGACATTAAGTGTAGATTAATTGAGTTTGAGTTAAAAAATATGTGCACATATCTAATGATCAATTTCTTAACATACAAATCGGAGTTTAGATTAAAGCAATTGAGTACGACCATATAAGCTAATAGTACATAAGTAACTTTTTAGCTCCGCACCTCCACAAAGAAAGTTTTACGACATCTAGAGTGCGTTTTGATGGGTACAACTGAATTTATTATATTCATCTCGAGTTTTATACGTATAATAGGATCACACTAACCAGCTAATTAGTTCGTCTCAAAAATACATTATTATTTTTTTTTTAAAAAAAAAGGTTTCTCTATCAAACAAGATTTTTACTAACTTTTTTGTGTTAGAAACATTATTATTATCATCACTGATAGATAATATATTAAGAGAAACGATATTCTTAATTTCTTTATCTAGTTAAATATTATTATATAAAATAAGAAAAAAAGAATAATATTTATGTTTTAGATTCTATATGATCAATATGTAGATATATCGAACTAGGATAATGGTAGTTTAATCTTATATTATATATTTCATTCAAATGTTTTATAAAGAGTTTGCATTTTCTGGTTGCTGAATTTACTATCCAAATTTGTCAAATCAAAAGTTGGTGGCTTTGTACCAAACGGTAACAAATTGTCATATCATTTGTGTAGATTATTATAAAAACATTTTACAATAATAGCTAAATACATTTTGAAATCGATTATACATATTACGTTATATGTTCTATATAATAGCATGTTATTATAATAGTAAAAAATTATCTAAATAGATAAAAATATTATATAAAGATCTGATCGTACAAAAATTAAAGATATCGATCTATTATCAATCATAATTTCCTTTTTTTTTCTTGTAGTTAATGAAAAACATAGATTCTTAAAGTGTTCCTCAACATTTGAACATAATTCAGAATTAAACTTTTGTAATCTTGAAGATTTTGGACATGTGATAAGAACATTAATAATTCCCCACTTATAGCTTCATCACACAATAAGCCAAAAAGAAGTACAAACAAAAATAACATAAAACCTAAAAAATTCTTCAAGTGAATCTCCAACCCCACCCCACCTAAAATAGGTCAGTGGCGAAGTCTAAAAATTACGAGTTTGATAGAATATAATAATTTTTAAATTAGATTATATATTTATAGTAAAATCTCATAGTATATATAAATATTTATTATGAGTATAATTAAAAAAAAATTATAATTCAAAATTCGTAAACTAAAAAAGTTGAATCCGCCTATGGACTCGAAAAGAGAGGGAAAAGAAATAATTAAGTAGTGATGAATGATTATATTAAAGGGTTGATGGTGATTTGCAAGAAAGTCAAATTAATTAATCAACTTTTTAGCAAGCATGATTACTTAATTATTTTTCATAATTTTTTTTCTTTTTGAACCTGAGCTAGCTCTTTATAGCCATTAGCCTGTGGTGATAAATTGCAATCCGATGTATTTATTTATTTCATATTTAGGCATTTAATTTTATCAAAATTTTAATATCAATTTGAACCTTTATTATTGTGAAACTAAAATCTTTATTAACATGATGCATAGAACGCTGTTGAATAAAATTGATGGCCTAAATATAAAATTCAATAAAAACCTTAAACTCACTCGATGAAATTGATATGTATTCTTTTAATTTATTACTCATTTATATATTTTTATTTATAAGTCAATTATCGTGTACTATAGTAAACTATTAATTCAAAATAAATGATACAGATACAGTTTAATTTAATTCCAATTCGCCGCAAACTTCTTGCTATTCATCTATCTTCCCTCTCTCTGGAATCTCACTCACCACTCTCCTCTTTTCAGCCCTCTCTCGCTCGCCTCTCTCATTTTATAGAAACACAAATGTACAATATGCGTCCGTATAAAGCGAGAGAGATTGCACATTCGGTCCTCTGACAAGGACATCTCTCGATCATGCCTATCCAGATTCTCTCGATCCAGCCGAACTTTTCTCTGCTTTAGTCCTAAAGTCCATTAGGTCATGACATTTGTTTGATTAGACGATTATCAGGTGATCCAGAAGACCTAATCAATGAGATTTGGGGCGGTAACGTTCTTTATTACTTCTTCATTTCATGTTCTAACTCCCAGTAATAGAATGGGAGACCTACACTACTAGCACTGACTTCCTCTTTGATTACTTTACTTCGCTCAGTTTCCTACTTTTGGTTGGAGCCGCCTCGGACTCCCCGACAGCCCTAAGAGGAAGGAGTTGTCCATCCCTACAAATACATATCTCTCCGTCCTATACGCTTATAATTGTACAAATACAAATCTCCCCGTGTTCAGTTCTCTTTTGCCTTTCTTTCTCCCTTACTTTATACCGACACAAAATTATATAAAATACAAAGTACGAGTTTATTTGTATAAAGCGAAAGAGATTTAATATACAAATTCAAATGTTTTAGCTCAACACAATTGTATATGTAATCAAATTTTATGCAGATATACAAACATAATCATCGATACATATATACAATTATCTAACTAATATACTATATAATTCACCTCTCTCACTGGCATCTCTCTTCTCCTCGCTCTTCCAATTTCGCTCGTCACTCTAGCCTAACACAGAGAACATATACAAACACAATTTTCATACAAATCGACGTATCACCACGATTTATACAAAAATAGATGCTCCATAACAAACAAAAGTTTGGCTATAGAACGCAAATAGCAAAAGAGAAAGCTAAGCTCCAAGTAATTTGTATCGCCAAAAATGAATTGGGCCGTAACCTACAATTTTCTTTTGGGCCGAAGGAATAGTAAAATTTGCAAAAAAAAAGGGTGGGGGGGTGGGGGGGGGGGATAATATACGAGTGAACTTGAACTTTTGACCCTTACTTACCAATATCGAGTTATAGCTATCGTCCCTTATTTATGGAAGTACCAAGTACGTCTATTTCGATTCCTTAGATATAATTTTGAGCATCTTTAGTCTTTTGCATAGCTAAAGTGCGGCACATTTCATCCAACTAATAGAAAGTCTGTTTGATCTCAATTTGTTTTAATAAAATCAACAAAATGTTGGTTATGGGTCTTTTTTCCCTTCCTATGTGGATAAATAAAAGCCCAATTTGGACCAACCCATTTTTGCCCATAGGCCCATTCTTATGAGGCAAATATAAGTCTATTTAGGTCTTATTTTCAAATACACAGAGAGTTTTTTAGCGGCCAAAAAGAGAGAAAAAGAGCAGATTTTCGCAGTCAAAATTCAGCCCTAACAGCCAACTTCAAATTACGATTCCCGCTTCGTTTCTTGTCCGATTGAGCTGATTTTTGGACAGCATATTATCTTCATCTCAATCTTTGATTAGGAACTGACAGAGTTGGATTTGGTGGCCTGCAGCTTCAGTTTTGTTGTCGTGAATAGTAGCTGCGAAATTGGTGATTTTGCTCCTTTAATTCTCTAGATTTGGTGCAATCTTATTTTGTTGTTGCTCGTTGTTTGGCACTTTTTTTGTGGCCAATTTTGGAGAACAATATTTTAACTCTTGGTGATTATAGTGGAGCTTTTGGTCCCGTGATTTTTTTACTCTTCACATCGAAGAGTTTTTCACGTAAATCTTGGTGTCTTGTGTGATTGGTTTATCATTGCCTTGTTATATTTGTTTGATTGAATTACTTGCTGCCTTATTATCATATTGCTTGTGGTTGTTTGTCTTCTCTTGGTTCAAATCGAAAAGGGAAAGTATAGACTTGGGTATTCTTCCGCAGTTATCCTGTCAGGCATTCTTTGTTAGTGTCTTGTCTTTCCCAACAAAGTGGTATCAGAGCATTGGTTATTGTTGATTGTCGTTTTGAATTATGGAGGCAAATATGAGCAAAATGGTGTGTTTAAATGGTAGTAACTATCATATTTGGAAAGGCA